TACCTGGTCATTGCGTTGGCCTCGGTGTCTTCGCTCTTCCTCTGCTCTGTGCTCCTGTTTGTGGCTGTGAGACTGTGCAGGAGGAGGAGGGCCGCCTGGGAGGGTAGCTGTTCGGTGCCTGAGGGCCGCTTTCCAAGCCACTTGGTGGACGTGAGTGGCACAGGGACTCTGTCCCAGAGCTACCAGTATGAGGTGTGTCTGACAGGAGGTTCAGGGACCAATGAATTCAGGTTCTTGAAGCCAATCCACCCCAACCTGGCACCCCAGGGTAATGAAAAGTTAGTGGAGGAAAGCTCAGCCTTTCTTAATGCCTTTGGGTTTAGTTAGAGATCTGATTATGATGCAAAGGTTTTAGAATGGCTTTTGTCATTGTTATGTAAATTAGGTTTGGGGGTCCCTTCAACTTAAGAGTTTTCATATATTTTCATATATGAGTTAATCCTTTTGTTTTCTGCTTCATATTAACTCTGAAAAAGTTAAAGGAGCTGGAGTCTGTGCAGAATTTGTTCCCAAATTCCACTGAAAATAATGGATTCAATATACAGCATTTCCCCTTCCAGCTCAAGTGCACACACTTAGCTCAGTCATATTGTGTGGCTATTCTAGCTCAAAATCCTCTACAAAAGTGTTTATGTTTTGCTCGATACAATTGATGTATATATTGTTATAAGAGCTGTAAGAGCCCCCCCGTAATGATTTAAAAATAAAATCAAATCCATGTTACCATTTTAAAAAGTGTTTATATTATTATTATTATTATTATTGATATTCTTATAGAGAAAATGCTGTCTGTGAATAGAATATTATTGCTCTGCTGTCTGGTTAGACCAGGAACTCTGGTGGGGCAGTGATACTGAAAGGTCTGCATTTACAACCCAAGGCTGTTCCCTGGAGAAAGAGGCGGCAGTGTTCTATAAAGGTTCAGAGCCTCGGAAATCCTGTGATACAGCTCTATGCTGTCCTACAGCGTCATTATGAGTAGAAATCTCAAAGGCGATGTATTTTTTGTTTTGTTAGGCTAATTGCTCAGATATTATCTCACTTAGATTAAAAAAAAACTGTGAGTCAACCAACTCTGCTCCCTGCCCCAAATATTCTAGGAAAATTTTTGGCATTTAAGTATTTTCCTTTATATAGATTGCTGGCAAATGTCCTTTTCTTAATACAAGCACAAATTCCTGTTTAAATTATTAGGATACATGAGAATACCTAGCCCACACACCTTCCCTGTCTACAAACTTCCTTGTACTATATGAGAGGCTTTCTGATTTTTTTAATTGTTTCTGCTTGTCCTGGGTATTTTTTTAATTGGTCCAGGGATATACTTCTAGGGAAAGACGCCATAATCACATTGCTCCAGGCCCTAACTTGGCAATCAAAATGCAGTTCATCTATTTTTTCTCTTTATTGCTTTTAAGTCAGAAGTAAATGTTAAGTACAGACTTCAGTGGCTGTGTGTACACCTGTGGAGGCTGGAAGCACAAAATGACATCCAGAGAGGGAGAGATGAAGGGAGGAAAAAAGATGAGGAAGGAAAGAGTTGGTGTGTGAAGGAACAAGGCAGTGGAGGCAGAAGCCCACAGTATAGCAGGGACCAAGCTATATAGTTCTAGACCAGTCAGTTCCTGGTTCTAGTTCCTGTAGGCCCTGATATATTATTGACCTTGGATTTTATGGTAAGACTCAAGTGTCTTAAAAACAAAAATCCTTAATTTAGCATATTTGGGAGTCTTCCAGCTAAAGACTTTTGATAGAGACATAGTCTTGGGCACTCAATTACACTAACTGTTAATCTCAGATATTACAATGCATGCTTCTAATATGACTTGATGCATGGAATAAAAATTTACAATATTAGAGATAATTAATCTATAGCAGAGGCTTTTGCTACAAATTTTTACTTACTTTTTTGTACAAATTTTAATTTTGTAAAGAATGTATGAGGTAACAGTTATGGGATGTTTTATTAATTTGGGCTTCCATCCATTATTTTGTGTGCCCAGAAACATTTGAAAATAGCATTTAAATGATTATTATTTGGGTATCTGTACCTATTTTCAGAATGATCATATCTTCTTTAGGAGAATCTTGCTTTTAAAAATTATTTATTGATTTCAGTGTAAACACAAATATGATATAATTTCATGTAAAATCTAATTGTTTATAAATAACCATTATAGAGCATATGGATTGATTCATTATTTAAGTGATAGTAAATATTATTTTATGGATATATATTCCATTAGTATGAAACTTTAAAAATCTCCCCCAAAAAACCTCCTGCCAAGACTATTGGCTTAAAATATGATATTAGAAAAGAGACGTTTTATCTGAGTGATAAAAGGTGGGAATGAAAGAAAAACAAACTTTGATCCATAGCTTATTGACATACTTACCAACACCTATGCACTAATATTCAAAATGTGTGGACATTAAGACCATATCTTCTTGGCTATTTAAGCTTATATAAAGAGTTTGGATCTATTACCAAGATCTTTATATAAGGAAATTTATTTATTAGATTTTAACTGTGACTACCATGTTCTCATATTTTGAAAGTTTTAAAATCAAACTTGTTTGACTGTATGGAGGAAAATATTCTAAAATAGATATCAATCATCCTGGTGCACAGTGTTTAGGTGCTACACTGATTTGACCCCATGGTGAAATGATGTGCTCATCTGTTGTTCTAAAGGTTGAAAGCCTTGGAAACCTATGCAGTAGTTACTCTCAGTCTTACAGAAGTATTGAGACTCAGAATTGCCTTGATGGCTGTAGGCTTTATGCTTACTTTATTAGAAGTAAGCCAACATGATATACATTTCTCAAAGTTGGCCCATGCTAAATGTTCCCATTTAGCCAGCTAACTTGAATCCAAGAATACCTGATATTCCAAGCTACCTGGATATAATATAATACCTGATATAGCCAGCTGACTTGAATCCAAGAATACCTGATAGTGTACACTGTTGACTCAATCATTGACTAAAAGTCGAACCTATTAGAGAGATTCTGGGTTCCCACCCTTACGCCTCTACTCCAAAAGACGTTTTCTCCTCGTTAGGAATAAGGAAACCTCCTCCCCAGGCTAAAATGCCAGAATCCCAGGTCTATTCACTGGGAAGGAATCCGTCAGTTGCTTAATGAAAAGGAGTTAAACTAACCCCTAGCCTACTGGGAAGTAAGTTTAACCAGCTTTTCAGATCAATTGTACTTATTTTCTTCTACACTTTATTTTCCATTGTCATTTCATCCTTTATCTTTGTGGTCTCAATGGTCTCCCTTTTCTCAGTGAATCTTACCTTTATGCATCTTTGTTTTAGTGATGATTGTAGACATTCTTTACAAGTTGTTTTACATAATGTAACAAGTCAATATAATATGTTCACTGAATCACACAAAAGAAGCACACCAAGAAAGTATTTACACTCCTTAAACTGTCTATGATATTTACTAGTAAACCTGATCTATTGCTTAATTTTATACTCCTGAAACATGATTTAATCTTTTCATCTACTGTCCTAGAAGTGGGTTGGACTTATTCTTTCTTTAGAAAGAGACTGATAGTTACACATTTCGTTTTCTCAATTCCATGCACAGCTGTCAGGACACAGTAGAGTAGACACTTCAGGCTTCCTGAAAGCAGAGATAGAATTTGTATGTTTCAGCACTTAGCACAATGCCTGAGACATAAAATTGGTATTTGTTGAATGAATAAACAAATAAGGGGAGGGAAGGAGAAAATGAGGACCTAATGCCGGGGATTTAAGTGGAGAGGAAATGTTCTGAGAATGATGAGGGCAATGAATGTACGAATGCGCTTTACACAATTGTGTGTATGGGTTGTGATAAGAGTTGTATGAGCCCCTAATAAAATGATTTTTTTAAAATACAGTTAACTCTGTGTTTGCATCATTCCGCAAAGTATCTGATATCTTTTCTACATTTACAATCTCACAGGATAATAAATATTACACATGTATTTGTAAATCACCTATACATATAATCAATGGGTTTTTGCATAACCCAGTAAGTGAAATACCTTATGTAGTATTTCTACAAGTTTGGCTCAAGTAGAACACATGGTGGCGCTGTAAGCTAAGGATGAGAAAAACAGACTTCAGATGGTCACTACTAAGAGAAGCTTTTGCAGCCCAACTGCATCCGGTCAAAGACTGATTTCCTGGACCCATCTACGGTCTGGATCAGATTGCCAGTAGACAGGAGCAACACAGGCGCCTGGACCCAAAGCCAGCTGAGAATTCGTATCGTGAAAGGCTTTTGATGCTGGAGAAATGGGGGTTGAAGAGGATCGCTTTCCTAGATCAAGGCAAGTTCTGCTTCTCTTTGTTTGTCTGACTCAGACTTGCGCTGAGAGGGGAGGCTATATCGTGGCGGAAGAAACGGAGAATGGTTCTTTTGTGGCAAATCTAGCAAAAGACTTAGGGCTAGGAATAAGAGAGTTGTCCTGGCGGAGGGCTCGGGTTATTTCTGAGGACAACAAAAAACACTTTCAGCTGAACCTTCAGACTGGAGATTTGCAAGTCGCTGAGAAGCTGGATAGGGAAGAACTGTGCGGCCCCATTGAGCCTTGTGAGCTGAAGCTCCAAATGTTGCTGGAAGACCCTTTGGAGGCACACAGATTTAAACTGTGGGTTCTTGATATAAATGATAATGCCCCTATGTTTCCAGAAGCAGAAATGACGTTGAAAGTCTTGGAAAATAGTCTTCCAGGGTCTGCGTTTCCCCTGCAGAATGCAAAAGATTTAGACATAGGCATAAATAATATTCAAAACTACACCATCTACCCCAATTCCCATTTCCACATTCTCACCCGCCATGGAAGTGAGGGCAGGAAATACCCGGAGCTAGTGCTAGACAAAGCCCTGGATCGTGAAGAGCAGCCAGAGCTGCGGGTAACTCTCACGGCAGTAGATGGTGGGGCTCCTCCCAAGACCGGGACTGCCTTGGTCATCATTGATGTCTTAGATGTCAATGACAATGCCCCTGAGTTTGTGCAGTCACTCTATCATGTTCAGATACCTGAAGACAGCCCCCTCGGGTTCCTGATCGTCACTGTTTCTGCCAGAGATTTAGACACGGGAATCAATGGTGAAATATTCTACTCATATTTTTATGGTGATGAAGAAATTGCCAAGACATTTGCACTTAATAAATTAACTGGAGAAATCAAAATAATAAAGACCCTAGATTTTGAAAAGATTGCCTCATATGAAGTGACTATTAAGGCCTCTGATGGAGCAGGTCTTTCTGGAAAGTGCACTGTGATTATACAGGTGGTGGATATAAACGACAACATGCCTGAACTAACTGTGGCTTCACTTATGAGCCACATCCCTGAAAATTCCGCAGAGACCAGAGTAGCTCTTTTTAGTATTCGAGACCGGGACTCAGGAGAAAATGGAAGAATGGTTTGTTCTATCAAAGGAGACATTCCCTTCAGATTGAAACCAACCGTTGAAAATTTCTACACGCTGGTGACAGAGGGCACTCTAGACAGAGAAAGCCAATCAGAGTACAATATCACCATTACAGTTTCTGATTTGGGGACCCCCAGGCT